AGCTATTTACATAATTTTTCCCCTTTATGCCTTCCTAGGTATGGTTTATTAGGTTTCGGAAATAACTACTCCAGATTTGCCCTGGGAATTGGATGCCCATATGGGTTAAATACCAATGCAGGGATGTTCAGGGCATGAGAGCTAATCTGATGTTTACTTCAAGACATTTTTGTTCTTATCTATTTACCCCACATGAACTGGTGCTACAATGGTGTCTGTAATGCACTAAATCAGTGTTTGGCATTTATTACAATACCAGTGGCAAATTTTACCCTTGGTAGTGTGTTCTATCGAGAGAATGCAATCAAAGTTAGTACCTGTGCAGTGACTGAAAATTTTTGTTAAATGCGTTAAACTTGTTAAAAAACAAGTTTCCAAGAAGGCCATTAGCTAGATTTTTTCAATTAAAGAATCATAATTTACCTCTAGTGTGTTCTACCTTGGATCTCCATTTACTCATGCTTACAGTATACTTTCAACAAGTTTTATACTTCTAAATTGTATGAGAGAAACATTCGCTGCAAACAAATACAAAGTAATCTTTCTAGAGATGTATTTTGCCTTCTCTAATGTGAATGAATGAGTTTCATAATGATGGATTTAAGCTTTATTTCAAAAGGTATTTTGCGTACTACCAAGTCTTAAGGGTCATTGTTTCTTTAGTAAATGGAATTGCCTAGGAACTCACGAAGGTAATATTTAAAATCATAAACCATTTTCTGGGAACTAAATTGCACAGCTTCCAGGGTTTGAGATCCTATTACTTTGTTATCATGGGCTAATGAAATATGTTCATTGATAGCAACAGTCTGCATTGACAAGTGTAGGGAATCTAATATTCATTGCACCTAAAGCACCTAAGACACAAGCATGGTGTTGTTTGAAGTAAAGCTGAGATTCAATGAATAAGAGTCTCCTCCACCTGGAAAAGAACTATGCAATATCAGTTTGGGCATCTTCAACAAAACTACACAGGAAGCAGATATTGTTAACAGTATAAAACTGGTAATCTCAAAATCAAGAAAGTCCATAAAATGTTTAGTGTGGTGCATGGAAAATACTGCACTGCTACAAACTATGCTGCTTTTCAGAGCTGGAGGCTTAGTTCCATTGTGCAAGTCACAGAGACCGGGCCTGGTAGTGCTTAATTTGGACATGGTCTGAATTCCCAGTACTAGCAATGATCATCTGGATGACTGTTAAAAATTACACACTTTTTGGAGCACAGCTCTAGACTATCCAATAATCTCAGCTGGTGGAGGCCACAATGGGAGGAGGAAATAACTGCTGCTAAAATATTATAAAAGTGATGTACATGACTACAGCTTGCTTCTGATTTAGGGTGTAGAGTATTTTAATTTGGAATCCAGTCAAAACTTTATTGTATATCTTTAAATTAATTGTGTTTTTTATGGATTCTATTGGTATATTTTTGTTTCTGCTAATTAGTATATTTCACTTTAAACCTGCTCATACAGCAACATCAATATCCAGCTTCAGGGGAAAGCCAGAGATTAATGGTACTATAGTTTCGAGTTATATTTGTGGTCTAGTTTCATGCTGTAGTCAGCCCATAAGTTGGTTCTTGTGACCTCAGAATATTTCCATTGTTTGAGTGTTAAGAACAGTCACATTTACAGCTCCAATTCTAGTAATCACCCCAGTCTGCTTTAATTTATTTTCTCCTACAAGCCACAAGTTTATAATGTTTAATATCATGGTGATCAAATTCTATTTTTTAACATACCAAAAACATTTATCTTTTTCAGACATACGTTTTGGAGGGTGTAAGGATAAATACAGTTTGTAGGGGCTTTGTTTGAAATAAAAATTGCATCAGTTTCCATTTACAAAAACTCCCACGCTCGAAGTGACTACTCAATGTGGATGAGGTCAGGAAGTTTAAAATCTACTTTTCTAAAAAAAAGACGTTGGTTAAAATAGTAGATATTGATTTGCATTATCAGGTTTCGCATTACCAAGATTGAAATCAAGAAGGAAATTAGCTATGTGCATAGACAAAATTAAATTGTAGTTATTAGCTTGGGAGGCGGTTGGTATTAATTGCCTAAATATCACCCTGCAAAGCTGGTGGGGGTCTTCTCTTTGAATCAGAATTTTGACCAGGTGATCATAACTAGCAGTTTATGTCCAAGTCAAGGCAGAACGTGAATTGGAGGAGACAGTGGAGGTGATGTTCCTACATGTCTTTTTATCTATATAATCGAATGATGATATGCGAGAGCACCTTACTACAGTTAGCGCTGACTGCTCTCCTATAACTTTCCCAACTGTCTAATGTTTCTTGACAATACAAGGATATTCAGGTTTTCCATCTAGAGTTACCTTAATATTAGCGTAAACATGTTTTAATTGAATAAGTGACATCAGTTTGAAATCTAGGTTTAAGCATTGGTAGGATTTTCAACTCTATTCCATTACGAACTATTGGTTTTCGGAAAAATCTAATAGAGATGCTGAAGGCCGCCTGTAGTGTTCCACCCATTACTGGTGTTGAGTCCAGCTAATGTGGAATAGATGAGGATCAAAGCTAAAGTACATGTTGAGAACACTACAGTCACAACATTTAAACAAAAAAGTGTTGTTTATACAACTCTGCTTTTTTGTGCCTTCTATCATTCTCCAACCAAGAGTAAGAGAACCTATTCCTAGACTGTGCTGTTTTGAAGATTACATGAACAGGACAGTGTGATTGAGCAACAATTTCCTGTTCAGTACCTAATCATCTCACCTGTGACAGCACTAGCAGTTGCTGCGTGCAGCGACAGTATGAGAAAATCACAGGTCAAGCTAACTTGTCGCTCAATCAGAAATGCAATGGGTTACACTATCATATCTTGCTCAATTTGCAGGTGAACAAATCATACCATGTATGGATTGAATTCTGGAAACCCTGTTTCTAACCCTGTTTGGATTAAAAATAACCCATTTACTATTAAATGTCTTCAGTGCTGGAGACTCCTGGAGGGGCTTCCTGCTATGAACCTTTCCAGGAATCCACAAATTCAGCAATGAAAAAGCATCCTCCTAGAAATCAAATCCCCTTTTGCAGCAGTCAGTGTGCCATGTTATGAGATTTAAACGTCCAGCAATACAGCCGGCCACATTAACTTCTGGAATGAAAGTGTAAGTATATAAGGTTAATGTAAGATTAGAGTGCCAGTTGGGTTGGGTGCCATGGAGGTCAGAGTGGGGGGGGTCAGGTCCAGTAGTGGGCAGTGGCGAGTCACGTGACAGCTGAGAATGGTGGGCCCAGAGGGGATGAGGGAGGTTGGTGTGTCAGGGATGTCCAGTCTCTAGACTGGTGGTGGAAAGCTTCCAGTCCATGGGATGGAGGATGAGGGCGACGAGGCTGGCAGTGGGATGCTCAGTCAGTGGTGAGGGGTGTCAGATTCCTGGCTGGGGATAATCAAGTCCAGGAGGGAGAGGGAGTCAGAAATCTTGTCTGGGTGGGGGTGGGCATCTGTAGCTGGCAGACAGAGATGTATCATGTTCATGGCTATAAGGCTGGTGACCGGAGGTGTATTGGGTTGGGAAGCTAGGGGTTGGTTTTGGGGCTGCGTGTGTCTGACAGGGTTGGAATGTATTCATTGAGGGGGGAACAATGCAATGAGGTTGGATTGGTAGAGGTTTCATTGTGCTATGGTTGCAGTCAGGGTAGGTGTAGTGTGGAAGTATTCCAGTGGTGACAAAAGGGTCAATTTAATAGTTATCCAACAGTCAAGGTAAGTTTTCAATTTAAATTTTTCCTGGGTAACTATTAGATTAAATAAGGCGCAACTCTTCAATGGACTCAGTCAAAGGGTTCCAGAGCTGGAGAATTGCACATCAGAAAATTTAATTTCCTGGATAATTCCCATGGAGTCAGCTGTGTTAGAGATTCCATATGGTCACAATGTGCAACTTCATTCTACATTACAGAAACAATTCTGGCCATCAGAATATCTGGGCCAAAGTGTTTTAGATTTTGGCTGAGATAGACAGATTTTGAAACAGTACAGGGAATCAAGGGTGATTAGGTAAAAGGCAGGAAAATGAAGTTGAGGATTATCAGATAAGCCATGAACCTACTGAATGGTGGAGTAGATTCAATGGGCCAAATGGCCTATTTCTGCTCCTAAGTCTTGCATTCTTATACAAGTTTGACAGAAAGATCTCCATTTTCACACCTATCTCTTTGAGCTTCTATGTCACACCTATCCTCATGGCACATATAAGCTAACATTTCACTGCATTAGGAATCATCGGTTCATACCAGACAGATCACATTATAGAACCAGTATGCCCTGATAACTACTACAAATTTCATATCTTTAATATACAGACAATTTTTAAGAAAGATATATTCCCTGGTGGGTCAAAGCCACAATATTATCTGTAGGATTTGACAAGGTGTCTCTTGCAAACTGTTTCAGTGGTATGGACTAAGGTTAAATCACCTCCAGATGTCCAACATTATATGGAAATGTCTCATGTCCCAAACATTAATCCAATGCTGTTGAAACTTTTCCCATTGTGACCTTTTGAGAAATTGGTGTGACCCCTCAGTGAGAACTGTGCGGCTGTTTGTTGGGGCAGAGGGTGGATGGGATTTGTGGGAATCTGTTTGTTCAAGTGGGAATGCAGCTGTTGTAACTTAGTTACATTGCCACCTCAGGATTCATGACCCCAAAATTGGAGTCTTCATCCCCATTTTGGGAAGCCCTGCATTAACTATTTTTTTTTCCTCTCTTTACAGTTAAAGATTGGCATTACTGTAATTCAGCACTTATTTATTTATTTTAATTTCAAGTATTTGCAGTGTTTTAAAACAACGTCAACCATTATTTCAATTAATACTAATTCCTGAAAAAGCCTTGCACAACCTGCAAATGAAACACAGGAGTTAATGAGTGGAACAAACTAACATGACCTCTTTATTTTAGTAGTTTGGAGGTTTGAAACAATAGGTTAATGACCAGGTAAGCACAGCACTGTACCTCAACTTGACTGTTTAGTAAATTTGCTTGAGACAGCTTGTTTAGGCAGACTTAGTCCAAGGAAATGTCCAAAAATCCCATATCATTTCTGCTGCGCTCGCCGCTGGTTGGAGTTTTACTTCTGCTGCGCCTGTAAACCAGGAAATTTACAAAATGGTTAGTTTTTTTTGTGAAAACTAAAATAAATGAAAATCTGACACTGAACTCAATGGTATCGTACCAATGATTGCAATGTGCTCTCCAACCTGTAAAAAAAGACAATGCACCTTGAGAGACAAGTTGTAATGGCTAGCATTGATCCTTTAGAAATTAGCACAATAGAAATCTCAAAAAATGTCATCATCAGCCCCTATCAAAAAGTGGCTTTTTTAGTTTGAAGTCATTTTGTTACAAAGCTATTCATCTGGAATATTTTTCATGAGGAATGTTTTATTTAGGACTAAGGGCCTATAATTATTGCTTCCCATAAATTTGTAGGTTCTGTAACTCACAAGCTAAATGAGATAATACAAAATGCTCCATTGTACGTTTGCCTCAATGCATTGCTAATTGTTTTTACTCCGAGGCCACATGGGTTAGAAATAAATTTCCAACTGGCAGATTGCTTCAACGTGATGACTGGGAAGTCATGTTATTGTAGTGTAAGTTCACAGATCCCATGAATTAGAAAATTTCAAATTACAACTGTAATAAACCTTGGATTCTCATAATAAACACTTGTCTCCCCTGCTCCATCTTGTTATATAGAAAATGCAGACTTACTTTACTCCAAAAAAAGCCTCAGCTTGTAAATACATTTTCCATGAATACATTTCAACAATTATTTCTTAAAAATAAGTTGCAAATCATTATTCCTTCTTTGTGAAGGTTACAGTATAACAGAACTTATATTTGTATGTTTCAGAACCGTCTCTAACTTAGGAAACAAAAATTGTGATCTATCCTAGAGTATGTCTGACAAAAGGCCTTGTGACATGGAAGTTAAAAATTAAAAGGAAGCCTGGATATTTTTCCCTCTGGAAGGAAGGAATGACATGTTTACACTTGGAGACAATGGAAGCTGCGACTGTGTTTACAATGTTACTTTGCAAAGTCCCACGAAGGTATTTAAAATGTTAGACTGTAAATGGTTATATGTTATTTTAGAAGTGAATGATCAGTTTAGAATTGGGGTCTAATCAGCATTTCTACCTGGATACGAGGGCCACATGATTTACAATGCAACGCAGGTGAACTTTGATGTTGGACGATCCTCATGAGCCACTGAAGGACCAAATTGCATGCTTTCCTAAAACATCAATGAACTCACATATCAAGCTAGTCTGCTAAGATCTGGAAGTGAGAGAGCAGCTGGAGGCAAATTATCTGTGCATTTCAGCATGCAGGGATATGGGTAAAAGCTCACACAGATTAAATGGATAATATTCATATTCAGCAATTAACTGGAATTTTACATGTTATTGGTAACAGGGATTGTAGCATATTAAAAAAAGTGTGTTGCAAGTTGTTTTGATGTAAAGGCAAGCCAAAAACAAACCCAGAATCAGAAACAACATTTACAGCTCTTAAGTAATTCAATATATTGAATTATTGACTGTTATAATTGATTAATTGCTATCGAAGTTTATAATGCAGACCTCGGTTATATTACTACCTTTCAAACACTTCCAGGTATCTACGAAATGTGCTTTACTATTTTGTATGATAATTCAAAAAGACTAATATGGGAAAGGCAAAAGTTCTAAGAAATAATTAAAAAATCTGTAGACAAGGAAGTTTTATTTTAAAAAGAAACAAGAAATCATCAGGAAACAAACCTGAAAAAAACAGTATGTCTTGTTAATGATTTTGCTGTCAGTCCCTACTTATACACATCAATAAGTACAATTTAGCAGTGCTCAGTGTAGGAGAAAACCTGTATATGGGCCAATCAAATTCATGTACAATTGTGTTATCCAAACTTATTAACATTTCAAACAAAGTTTTAAATTTTCTGCTTACATTCTGAAATAAATTCCCAGTTAGAAACAATGTTTACCCAGGACTGCCACAAACTCACCCCTTTGAAATTGCTTGTAGGGTGTCTGCCGTTCTTTGTTTTACTTTGGAGTTGCTTACCCGACAGTGACAAAGCGACAGTAACTGTGACATGATCAAATCATTTTTAAAGCTACCATGATGGTTTCTTATCCAGAATAAGTTAAGATTTTGCAACGAATCAATAATGTGGTTTTCTAATAAATCACTTTTGAAGCAACTGCTACTGTAAATGTTCATGAAAATTCACAAACAGAAACTATTACAAACAAAAAGTGTTTGCAGATGAACAATGCAAATCATTGCCAAAACATGTTGTTACTTCACATATGAGTAATGTTAATGAATGTAAAAGGTGTTTCTCTCCCTGACATCTTCCATCCTAAAGGAATATTGTCAATAACATTACACAGAGATGGTGCCTATTTAAATGAAATCCTAGCATCCACTTCCAAAGGACTGCCATGGCTTAAAATTAAATGTCACAAGAATTGGTAATAATAGACTTGGTCAATGCTTCTACACTTAAACGGCAGCTTAACATGAAAATTGGGATTCATATATGGAAAACTGGAAGCAGCTCTGCAGAAATGACATCTCCTGCTTTCCTCACTCCACGTCCTCCTTTCTGATACAGATCCACAAATAGGGATTACAGCTAATCGGTCAGGAGTGGGCATTCCAATTGAAGTTCTTTTTGCTATCTGAGGGGAACCGCAAACAATTCTTGTGCCTTATTGCTTCCCAGCTGGAATCAACTATCACAGCACGGTCCAGGAATTCTATCTGGCATCATCTTAGCTTATAGTCATCAGGGTGAGGAACTCTTATTGCTAATATTAGAAAGCAATTTGTCCTTTGCCAGATCAGCACTTAAACATTGCATGTAACACATGTGCAATTGTCAAAGATAGTATGCCATGTGCATTCTAAAATCACAATCCAAGATTTTTTAAACATTTGCTGCTTTGTTCAGGGACGAAAATCTTCAGTTGGGATTCTGAGCTGGTAATTAATAGTTCAGTTGTAGCCCGTCTGGCACATGCCAAGTCTTTGGCTACTTTGAACAAAAACATGGTACTGAACTTTTTCTCTGTGACAGCACAATATGATCTAATGTCAGCTTCAACAGTGGTATGTACTGCCTCTAGCAAAACTGGTGCCAGTTTGTTCCCATTTAATTGATTGGCTGCACACTGTCATTAGTGAAGGTAAAGTAAATGACATGTGAAAAAGCTGACCAAATTTCTATCAGCAAACTAAAAGAAAACAGACAACTGGCCCAATGCATCAGCTAATTATTTTACTCCTTCCAAGATCCTTCCAAGAGAACACAACCAATATGGTGATCCTTCAGTTTAATGGCATTGATGAGCAAGGGATGATTACTTTTTGTTATTTTCACATGAATAATTTCTAAGTATTTTCATCTTTCAATGCACGCTGCACAATACTCCAAAAAAGAAGCCTTAAGGCTACATTTCAACATTAGGAAATTCCCCTGAAATATGTAAAATTATGCAAAAAAGTTAATATATGTGTAGAAGAAAATGGCATGAATATTGTCAACCGATCAAATTCTGATAGTGCTCAAGTTTGTTTCATTTCATGCATCACCCAATCCACCGAATTGTTCTTAATTATGCATAAACTGACCTGACACAATCACTTTTGGCAAAAAGAATGTAGACTTGAATATTGCTTTCACTGCCTTAATACTTGACTTTCAGGGTTAAAATTATTCGTTGCTCCAAAATAATCTGATATTCAGCACTGTGCAAAGAGAGATTAAATTTTAGAGGTGCCCTCTTTAAATGAGGTGCCTTATGCTTTCTCAGTAGACATAAAAGATTCCGTGCCTCTATTAAAAAGATTAGATTCATTTTCCCAGTGCCTTGATCAATATGTTTCCTTTAAACAACATCACACATGAAAAAAAAAATTATTTGGCAATTTAGCTCACTGGTGTTCATAGCATTTCCATATTTGAAAATTAGTTATCTTACAACTGTGACTAAACTTCTAGAATGTTTCTCTTTTTGTGAAGATGTTTGTGACATCCTGAGGTCATGAACATATGTAAAAGTTTCATCTTCAATTTATTTCTTGAAGCACATCAGAACATTTTACTAAGCTAAAAGGTGCTATTGAAATGAATTTGACTACATGTAAGTCAGAATCCCAGCATCTCACTGCCTTTTAGCTGTAGCGAAAAATTGAGAAAGTAAATCCACTGGAAAATGTGGGTAAGAGTCTGCTGTTGGTGATTTGATTAGGAAAGAACAGGTCAAGTCAGAGGACTGGATGGGTGGACAACATTAGAAACTTGGTGCAGGACGAATTGACGATGGTACACAGAATTGCAAAGAACAGAGAGAAATGTTTACAGTCCCTTATGGATTGTGGCTAATTATGGAAGGATATAAATGCAAGTTCTTGCTGTTTGAAAATTAGCTGAGGCTTGATGCCATACAATAAAGTAACATATCAGGTTACTCATTTGGTAACTCTCTTGCTCCCGAGTCAGAGGTTGTGGGTTCAAGCCCCATGCAAATATTTGAGCATATAATCTAGGTTGATATGTCAGTGCCATGAAGGAATGCGAACATGTTGGTGAATGAGAAGTTGAATGGAATTTTTTTCAATCAAAAGGTGGGGGAGTTCATCTAGTCTACAGGCCAACATTCCTGCTTCAAATAACATCACCAAAATTGATTATCCACAAAACAAGAGAATACATTTCACAAGTAATCCATTCTCTGTAAAAATTCTTGGCACATCCGAAAGACACAACATGTGCTGGAAATATGTCAGTTCTGTGTAAATGTTAAAAAAATTAAGTATTTGCATGTAAAGGATTCATCTTGGATAATGAGTTACAATTTAATTGTGTAATTATACATCTCTTAGTGTCTCTGCATCAACTAGCGCAAAGTTAGACTTATTAAAAGTGTTTTCAATGTGGTCCTCTTTGGAAAGGGCAATAAACAATGTATCTGCCAACTCAAAAGAATTTAAACCTTTCAAACATTTGTAATCCTTTTCCATTGTTCTTCAAAACCTATTGAAACGAGTGCAGCACTAAAGTCAAAATAATATGGCACAATATCATGCTTTCATTGGAAAGTGTTAGACATTGTAACTATTGAGACTCTAAGAGGGGAAATAGGACTTTAGCCAATGCGTTGTAAGTGGTATGGGACAAAAGGGAACAAGTACAACTCGTATTAGAAATAACAAGTTACAATGCACTGTTGCCAACTGCTTTCATAAAGGCGTCCAAATGTACTTACTGTATACTGTACAGGGTTCTCTATGTGACACCAATCTTAAACCTCAAAATACCCTACGCATTCCATTCTCCCAATTAGGAACAGTCGTGTTGTATAGCACGAGCCTGTACAGGAGGAATATACTACAGCATCTGATCTTGGCAGCAAGTCATGCCTTCATTTGTCAACACAGTTAAAAAGGAACATAACCTGTACTTTGTCTTACGACATCAAAAAGCCCAGTCAACTGTTTAACAAAACAAAATCAACAAGTTCTGTCAGAACATCAGCAAATATGGTAAAAATTTTACACGCTCGCAAAAGCTACCGAGGTAAAATATAAATGCGTAAATTACTTCAACTGCCATCTGATTCTTTCTAGAAAGCAAAATAATGTTGATTGGTACAGGATTGTTCCAAAACGAAGATGGCTCTGTAATGATCTACACAATTAGTTGTTTTTTTGCTGCAGAGTGTAAGAAATCATGCCTGTAAACCTTGTTCCCCACCCCTCAAAACAAAAGTTGAAGGACTTTCCCTTTAATACAATCGTGACAACGAGGAAACAAACACGCGGAGGAAAAGTCCCTGGGATAACTGGCGTTTCCCCAAATCATTGGTGTGCTGCAGGGAATACGATCTTCCTATGGCAGCCTTCAAGGGCAGACTAGTGAATCGAGCCCTCGCCATGTGCAACCCAGCAGTGCGCTGGCAAACGGCACTAAATGAGCTGGAAAGGAATCGGCCAGAAGCAGAGACTCCAAAAGCTAAAGCTCTCACTAGAAATACCAATCAGCGTCTCCTCCGAACAAATAAAGCACTTTCCTCCTTCTTCAAACTCCACCACATGATTTCTTAATAAATTAAAAATCAAAGTTAAAACTATTGAGCAATAGGTTTAGGCATCATAAAATGTATATGAGCGTTTGCCCGTTCTTGTTTATTTAAAATATTACTTTTGGCACGGGCTGGATATGAAACTACTGTATAGTCACATGAAAATTAATACCCACAGGATCATCCATCCTTTCAGAATGAAGAGGATGCGACGTGCTGGATCTTACATTTTTCTATATATACACACACGCAAGATATATCATTTTTTTTACTCCGACGTTATTTCTTCAAATCAAATTCCGCTCCTTTGAGCGTCTTATTTTTTGCCCTTACAATTCCCGGTGGTGGTGCGAAGCTGAGGACATGTTCACCCCAGCAGAAAGGTTTCAGCTGTTGTTCACGCTGCTTCTGCCTGGGCTGCCTCAGCTCTGTCACAAACTCAATATCAGAGCTTAGACGCTACACATTGTAACAATATCCGCACACAGCCCCTCCACTTCTCACCAAGACAGGGAAAGACCCACTGTGTCAACTTGCCCTAACCCATTCCCTGCAATGCCTCGTCCTCTCACTCAGCAAGTACCTTACCCAAGTTCTCTGGAATCTCCTGTCCACACAGCCTGCAGTCTTCCTTCACTCCAACCTCTCCTCCACTGTTCCACTTCCCACTAAAAACCCCTCTCTTCTTGATGTGGAGTCGTCCACTCACAACTACTGATCAGCTGAAATTGCAAAGGGAAGTAGGTTTGTCACTTCCTGGACGGACTGTAGTAGGGAATCTGTGCCTTTCCTTAAGAGAGGGAATTGTTGTTGTTGGACGGCCAGCCGTGCAAAATAGGAACGTTCTAAACAACGTGAAATGCCAGTTTTATAAAAAAAAATATTCGTTTTCAGACTAAAACTCCTCCCTTCCACACCCGAGCCCCCAGGCTTTGAATCAGGAGTGTTTTTCGCGATATTGTGCTAGATGGCGCAGCGACCCAAGAGAAACAAGCTCCCAATACTACAATAAAGAAAATTGGCTTAAAAAACGGGTATTCGTCTACAGAAGGAACTGGGCAGCCAAAAGAAACAGCTACGTGTATACATGCAATGGCCATTTCTTTTACATAAGTGTGTCTACATGACAGATGTGAATCCCAGCCCCAGCACTTACAGATTCTGCTCATGAATAACATATCGAAAAACAACTGAATAAAGGGTAAAGTATTAGGACAGATGCCAACTGCAAATTTTTCGATAGCACAGTAATTCGCCACCGATTAAATATATGTCACTGGGCCCATACAGACCAGGAAATTCCCAACGTTGATTTCTGCCTTCAGCTGGAAAACTATAGGAGTGTCTCAACAGCCATGTCATTTGCATGACCTTTACATGATAAAAATATCTTTCATTAGAGCTCTTTTCACGTTGAGAATAATGAACACTGAATAGTAACAAACTACTTAGAAGAGATAACCACAAAGGCATTCAAAGAGGTTCAGAGGAAACTTTTAAAGTGAGTTTAAGAAGGAGAAATTTTGGTAGAAATTATGCTATGTAGCCAGGGCAACTGAAGACTCTGTATGGATCAGATTTTTAAGGATGGGAAGAACAGCCATCACAAACATTGAGACAGGGAGAAGAGGAACCAAAAGAGAACAATCTCTGAAGTGAAGATTGAATTGAGACAATGGAGGAGGATGAAATGGGAAGTGATGAATGGAAAGAATTCCAGGACAATATGGGAGGTTACAATCGTAAACACAGTGGCTATTGTTGATAACAGTCAGAAATACAGCTTCTCTGTACATCCTGTAGAACCACATTCTTAATTGAATCAGTAGAGTTTATATTTGTGTAGATCATGAAATATAGAGAATGCAGCACTTCCCCACATGCACGGATTATCTTCTGGTGTAGTCGCACAGGCACCAGAAACCTTGTTTGTGCTTTTCCCAATTTACCAATCTTCATCTATGTACCTAAACATAGGAAATAGAATATGCTCAATGCCGGAGCCTCCACTGCTCTCTGAAGTAAAGTCCAAAGTTATCACCACTCTCTGAGTGAAGACATTCCTCTACCTCCAAGTCCAAAATGACCTCTTATTCTGAGATTGTGACTTCTGGATCTATACATCCCAACGAAGAGAATCATTCTTCCTGCTTCTTATCCCATCAAACCCTGTAAGGACTTTATATGCTTCAATTAAATCACTTCTCATTCCTCTAAGTTCTTCAGAATATAGGCCTAGTCTCCTCATAGGATAACTCAACCTTCCCAGGCATCAGTCTGTGAACCTTCAATAAACACCCTGTATGGTAAGTACATCCTTCCTTAACCAAAAAGCAGTCTCAATAAGATATCGAACTGAGGGTAGAATTACAGCTGCAATTGATTGTATCTCCTTCCATCATCTGTCTGCTACGAATTTGTAATTGGGTCATTCAATTGCAACAAGGAATAGGGATCTCAAAAATGTTACTACTCTGGTTCATGTGTACTAAAGTCATTATTAGTTATCCTATTGCCCTCTAGCAAGCTGCTATGAGTAACTCAGCATACAGAAGGGATCGTAGCTAAGAGTTCCAGATTTGTGTAGTTTTGACAGGGCATTTATCAACTGAACCATTGATACAAATGATCTATTTCAATAAGATTAGGTAGCTTGATCTTATTTGTTTCTACAAGTTTGCAAAATTTGCAAAAAGAAGTCATAATTCTGAAAAGTGAGGGAGTTCAGAAGAATCACGAGTAATTTTTAGCATAATGATTTCATGTGATTTATGTTCTCAAAATCTGATGACACTTTCCTATCATTAATAATCATTCACACCTGTGCAATAAACAATGAAAAATGGCAGGCCTAATTGTTTTCAGAACAGCAAAGCCCACTTACTCCACTAATGATTTGTATTGATCAAATGCTTATCGGAAGATCAATTGTACCTGAGGTCTAGATCAATGTGAGTACGTATCTGATGTCAGCAGCTTTTTCTCATTGCTCATTCAAGCAACATAGAAGAATTGATCTAATATAATTCCCATTTAGGGTGTATACTAATTAGGTAAATCAATAAGAATTTTATTTAATGGAAAGTTTATAATATTTTAATAAATTATTCCAAACATAGGAAAATTGAAAATGCAGTTCAAGAATATATTCTAATTATTGTCTATATTGTCATCTCTTACTGTACATATTAACTCATATGGTTAAGTATGGACTTATAACTGGCTGTTTACTTTACTGGGTGCTTTTAAAAATATTTTAAATTATTACTCAATTGACAAGTATATTGAAGGATTTTATGGACAGGAAAAAGGATATGGTGCAGAGACTTTTGCCCTCTTTTCTCACCTCTTTTCTGCAGAAATATGTCTGTTGCAGAGAGTGTTTTACCTTTTCCAGTATTGTGATTTATAGTAAAATACATGAAACAGATGTTCAAGTAATTTAAATCAGAAAAGACATACATTTATTCAAACAATACCCCAGAATGAAATTGCAACAAACACACTTATTTCCTCATGCAAACAGACACACAATTAAAGATGGGTTCTGAAGAACATAGCGTGGCAGCTAGATTATTAACAGAATACAAGAAGCAAATCATGTTCAAACAGAGTCATTCAAGGTGTACATGGTGCAGGCCTGGATAATGTTCCCTCTTAGAGGGAATGGAGTTTGAGAGGTCTCGGCATTTCCAGATGAGGTTGTGGCCAAACAATAATAACTGAACTGCCCTTGAAAGGCTGGAGGATTTTCACTCTATCTGCTTGTCTTGGAATAATGAGGTTCTGAGGTCAGTTTCAGTCACATGACCAATACTTCTATTTACCACTAAGAATTATTTCCACTTATGAAATTTCTAATTTGTGATGTTTGACTTTTGTTTCTTCATTGTAGGAAATTCTTGCTAAATAGGTTCAAGTACAACTCCCCCATCTTGTGCTCTAGATTTCATTGTACATTCATCAATTTCACATTCACCTCAAGAGTATAAAACTCATTTTTTCTCATTTATACTTAAAACTTAAAAGCTTTGATGACCTAAACATATGTAATATATTGATAGTTGCCTTTAAAGTTATCAAGGGAGATGCATGTAAACTTATACTTACCCCACTCAACTATTTTAGCACAATTCAAACTGTTAAATAAAGCAAGGAGTCTATTTCGTATGATAAACCTGGTGTGATACTCTGAAGGTTCAGTCTAGTGAGTTTATAAACTCTGGGCACCATTCCTGATTTATATAATCATCAGAATAGAATTTGATTATACCACAAGAGGAAGGCCTCTAAAGAATCTTCTTGTTGCTGGCATTCAGGTAGAGAATTTAGAGGACATGCTGATTCTCTTTCAATTGACATTTGTTGATAGATTATTACTTTGGACACAGCTGGGATTTTGAAAGCTAACACTGGGAAGCGGAGAATCATTATTAGGCATATATCTATTTCTCTTGATAAAATTAAAATATATGCAACAAACAAATAAAACAATAACCTCTGAACAGGATCAGGGTTAGTTTTTTGAACTCATAACCATAATGAATTTTTTTTTTTAAAAATCCCAGCTGCCATATGTCCAAACTGAAAAGCTGTCAATAAATGCCGAATGAAAGAAAGAGTCTGAATTTATGCAGAGTGTGGGTAGGACTGTTGAACCTGTAAAATGACCAAGTCAGGGAAGCAGCTACATTCCAGGATTTTAGACATTCTTGCTCTGAGAGGGTGATATCTTTCTAGTGCTGTGGAGGTGACTTTGGAACCAATGGGAGCATTTCTGAGAAATGCGTTGTCAGGGAAGATTCCCCAACACATTTCCAACTCTGGACATTTTTGACAGGGACTGGGGTCAGGCTGGGATCGGTCAAAAAATAAAGAATGTCTAATCAGTGCCAAAAGTGCCCAATTAGAGGAAAATTGGGGACTTTGCTGGGATCTTATTACTGGGAGAGAGGCCAATGCTGACGTCAGAGCCAACAGGTAAGTGAAAGCCGCCTCCAGTGGCAATCTAGGATTCCCCCTCCATAATGATAGCCTGGCAATTATGGCCAGTTTTTTTTTCCCTTTATTCATTCACAGGATGAGGGTGTCGCTTTTTAGCAGTATTTATTGCCTATCCCAGTTGCTCATAGGGCAGTTGGGAGTCAAACACATAGCTGTGGGTTTTGGGTCACATGTAGACTAGACCAGGTAAAGATGGCAGTTTCCTTTCCTAAAAGACATTAGTGAACCAGATGGGTTTTTCCCAACAATCGGCAACAGATTCTTGGTTATCACTAGATTCTTCATTCCAGATGGTTTTCATTGAATTCAAATTTCATCATCTGCTGTGGCGGGATTCAAATCCAGAACATTATCTGGGTCTCTGGATTAACAGTCCAGCGATAATACCATTAGGCCATTGCCTCCCCTCCCAGAGTTTGTCGGATCTTCTACTGAAGTGTACAAAGAGCTCTCACCTTAAGGTGCATTCAATGTCTCTGACCCACAATGTCAGTGCCTTCTTCACCTGGTGGGACTGCCAAATGTCAGAGCCTTCAGCACTCCCATTGGCATACCACTTGCATAGCCAGTTCCTTGCCTTTAATGGGCATTCCTAGGGAACTTCAGGTCATCGGGGAACTGGCCTCTCTCAGAACACATTTGAACAAACTAGGAACACCAAGTTTTTTTGCAAAAGTGACAAGAATGGATTGTTACACAAAATGAAATACATTACTATTTAATAATCCAGACCCCAACTGCATAAACTTTATATGATCATTTGAGATCTGCCTTAAAGATACTTTGCTCCTATAATTCATTTGAACGCTAACTGAAACCAGACATTCACCTGCACAAAATTGCTTTCTATTGTACTTTGGAGTTCTAAAAAAGTGAATTCATTGCAAAAGTATGTTCCTTTTTCCACAGTCTTTTGTG